GAGCCATAATCGTTGATTAAATTATAATTTTATTAAAAAATCTGGCTGTGAATAGAGAGATAAAACCAAAGGATGTAGTCCTTCACGAAGAAACACTGAATCAGGATGAGAAGAAAAATAAACGATTTCTAACAGAAGTTTACGCAATTGATTTGCATTATTGAACGATGACCACAAATTTGCATTTTATATATTTCTAAATATACCAATGACGAGTAAACCGACTGTTTTCTTTTTTTCTTTCGTTTACAAAATGGCAAGTGAGCCAAGGTTGCGTGAATTCGGTTCAGAAACAGACTTCTATCACTTCAGGGTGTTGTTTATAATTAAGGCAATTGTCATAAATCATGACTACAGTAATTAATCTGTGACTGTTTGAGAACACAGAGAACAATTATCGGCGATAATACTGTTTGGTTATGGAAATGGTAATTTTTATTGTGTAAGTAATGCGACAAAAAAGTATGATTCATCGCGAATTGTTCCTTTTCCGTCTAAAGATCAAGGAAAGGGCATATCAATAAAATAAATGTCCTTAGTGTCGGACAAGTTGATTTGGAGAGTTGAAATTGTAATTCGGCTAAAGTGTATCCTTTGAAAGGTTCCGATCGTGACATTACTTTTTATGAGTATCATCCAAGTTACCAACCTTCCATTACCATATTAGCTCCAAACCTTAGTTTAGAGGTGACAACGCGACCCGTAAATCTCGGTTCATTGTGACTGTCTATAAATTCAACAACTTGTCGGAAATAATAGTAGGTTTACGGTGAAGGCCATCTTGCACAGATTACAATTGTAGCTAACTAATTATCTACTTCCATGTAAAGAAATGCAGCATGCAATGCAGAAATACAGTTGAAATAAAATCGATGGCCACTCAAACATTGATTTGCTAAGATCTGTGTTGACTGAAGAAAATTACGTAATTTCTCAAGAAACCGCAATTTTTTTCAAAAAGTCTCTTTAAATAGAACTGATATTATAGATAAGTTATTGCATAAAACGTGTAGGTAAGTGGCTTTCGCTCCATGTCCATATAAACTTCCTTGTTTTCCAGTGTTATAAGATGTTACCAGTGGCTCATTTAAGTCGTACATCACTGTCTAAAGAAAAATAAGTTTTCGCACGTTACAGTAAAATATTAGAGTTGTATTTTACCAATCTTTAAACGGATGTGTTTAATATTCATAATATTATATATAAATAATACACCGTAGAAGCTCTTCAGGTGGCCACTTTACTATTCATCGAAATCAAAATTTGCATAAGACGCGTACTCTGCATTGTGTGGGAATTTTATGACCACTTAAATCCTACCAATAACTTTTTTTTAGAAGATAATTAAACCTTGACATTGCAACAATTTAGTGGAATAACAAGATTTATGTATTTTAAACACCTATACACCTTTTTTGAAAAAATCAGGAAGTCAGTATACCATTTATTCGCTGTTTTAACTCCAGATTCTTTTTCTGCATTTTGCAGAATTATGTATACTAGTTCTGATATTGGAATACACTTTAATATTAAATCTTCAACCAGTTCTACGTATGTTCAGTGATAAATCTTGACTACATGTAAAACTATTATACATCATCATACTTACCTATTGTGTGGGAAACGTTTGGATGAAATTATCGACCAGAAAGGACTGCTTCAAACAAGTTGATTATAAATTCTTAAACGAATTAGATTTTCATGTCAATAATTGAGTGGGAGTTCGATACACTTACCTGTTGCATGCCTGATTATGTTTGTAGGTTGCTATAATAATTATCGCAATTACTAATGTTATAGTGCATGTAATTTTAGTGAAATTGAGCTCAAAGCAATCACTTCTTTTTATAGTTGTGACAAATTAATTATATGTTTATTTTGATGACACATTTAATTGCGGGTTCTCAAAAGTCTTCAACCTATACATCAAGTAATAACTGATAATTTATGATTTTCCCCCAAAGGCTAAAATATGGTTTTGTAACTTTTATTTAAGAAATTAAAGAGTTTCTTACGAAGCATCATACTTATTACAACTATAATGTTCATTCTTTATCCAGATGACAATAGAGAACGTTTGCAAAATGAACATAAATTCTTGACACGTTTAGCTCGTAAATTTATTACGTCGCCTATTAATGTAATTGTAAAGGACGTGTCGAGATCAACATTAATCGTGAGAAAACACTAATCGTCTAATTTGTGTCTTGATTTAAGCATATAAGCTGTCATAACTACGTAGTTGTTTATGGTTGCATTTTTTGGACTTCCAAGAAATATAAATGATTCTTTAAAAACTCTTGTTATTTCTTTCTTTAAATGTCAGTACACAACAGCGCAAAATTGATGCAAAATAAAAACGCAATAAACAATTTTTTTATTATCTATTTCATTCACCAGCTGTCAGTCAGGCAAGTGATGATTCTTTTCTTGTAAAGCGACGTAATAGTTTGTTTATTCAATTTGCACATTATTCTTAATGTTAAGCCTCATGGAAGTAATTTCTGACAACTGTTTTATATATAGTGTTTTAAAAAAATATGAATTATTTGGTAAATAAATGATACATGACACATTATAAAATTAATAATTGTTCGTAGACAAAAAAAAGTGTTACAGTTCAAGAAATCTGTGCAGCAGTAATTACTGTCATTATAAAATATAATTATTACAATTGGAGGCGATGTAGGTGTACAATCAACGATGCAATGATTTCCGTGTTTCTGTTACAAAGTGAGGTTAATAAGTACTGTAATTACATAAATTTAAATAAAATATTAAGACGTATATGAGCCAAATTTGCCAAGGATTTTGGTTTATAAAAAAATGCATGTAATTTATATAGTTGGATTAAAAAAATGTTTACAGTTCAAAACAATACATAAAATTCAAGCCCAGTTTAAAATCTGAAGAATTTTCATACAAGACAGACCGAGAACACCGTAGCTGAGACACTCTGTACTCAAACTACAAGAAAGAACATTAAAATAGTTATGCTAAATTAACTCCCAAACGATAAACATTTTTACACACTAAATGTCTTGTCTGATTTAATTTCTAATTTTTCTGTCTAAATTTCCTTGTATAGTATCTTTACTAACTAGTGGTCATTGGCATTTGCGTTTTTGGCAAAACAGTAAATTAATATACATTTATTAGTATTAACAACTATTGGTAAACACTTCGAATATGGTGTGGCATGACGTATGTTTTACGTACAGTTGTGCAAAAATTAACCTACGCAAAATATGCACAAATTTGAATCACTCTTATCTTCTTATTTTGTGTTCACTACAATAATAATTACACTTCCTACAATGTCTGTCAGATATGATTGTGGGAGATTATTATATTTTCTTATTCACATTAGTTGATGTTTGTAATCTTAATTGATAATATTGTACATTTATTTAACTTGGGTTAATATTTATGGTCTATGATTATCAAATTATATAAAAGCAAGATGAATGATACTACGTATTTGAAAGTAAAAATATTTTTATTTTATGATTTATTTTCATAATTCATGGCAAAATACATTATGCAAATCGTTTTATTATTTCGCTATAAAAATGTTATTTGACAAGATTAATTAGTTTTTTATTGTTAGTAAGTAGCTTCGTTTATGTGACAATATAACTATTAATAAAATTTATATATTCAAATGTGTTCGTTTGTTGAAAGCTTTCTTGATGACACGTCGTTGTGTATCATGATTAGATAAGTAATAAAAGAAGATTATTATTTTAACTGAGTTTTCTACTTACTTTTAAGTTACTTTTAATAATAATAAGAACCAAAACATGCTTTGTAATTTTTAATTATGAGTATACAAAATGCCAAAGTAAAACTTTGTTTTTAAATAAATCGTTCTCTGTTAAATTTGCGCCATGCTTATTTTTTTATTTTCAAAAATAATTGCCAAAATGTTATTTTTCATAGTTTCTTAATACCTACGAGTAGAAAGTTTCAATTAGTTTTAATTTAAGTTACAAAGTAAAATTGTGTAATGTATACCTATAGGTTGTATCAGAACTCACGCCCCAGAGAAAAAATTCAAGTAAAATAAGATACCAGTGGAAAATTTATACTCTCATAGCTTCAACATTTTTATACATAGAATGTTTTTAACATTTTTTTCCATGTTCCTGCTATCTTAGTTTACATGGCATTTTTCTCTGGGGGGGTGCGAATTCTGGCGCACCCTGTATACATATTATAATAAATTATTAATATTTAATCTTCACAAAAAAAAAGTTCTTTCAATTTATATTTATCCCACAGATATAAAAGAAACACCGACAAATCTCACAATCTGTTTTTTACATTAAATGATCAAAAATGCGTAACAAAATGAATCTATAAAAATTTTAATTAAAAAATGTACACAAAGACATCTAAAACAATAATTGTTAGCCTATTTTAACAAATACCATAATTTTTGAAAAACCATTCACCACCATGATGGAGCCTATTTGTGTAAGATTGCACAATTCCACATTTTTTACACGTTATATCGAAATACAACTATGTATAAGCAAAAATTCGTAGAAATAAACAATAAAACTGGACAAAATAAAATGGTGTTATATTTGAAGAAATCACTTTTTCGTTAATCAGAAAGAGGTGTTTTAAGGGCGCGGAAATAATCAGTAAGGATAACAATTTCAGAGCAAAAGAACCTGTTTTTTAATCTTTATTATTTTTAGTGTTATTATAACAAACCATAGGTTACGCCACTGGTTCATTAGTTATTTCGCTGAAGCGATTTCAGGTGGAAGGTTTCTGTTTGCGTTGTCACAAACGGAAGAATATCTCCTCTACTAGCTACCGCAATCTGCGATAAATTTCCTAGAAATGCGAGTCCTTTTCCACTTATTACCGTCAAATCTTGTGTAGGTATAGTATATCGCCTATGTTTATGTGGGTTCGGATGACGTAAGAATTACTATTGAAACTACGATCGTCGACATTGGTGGGGGCAAGTTGAGTAGCTTTTTCTCAGTGTGTTCCTGAATGTGAGTGGGTTAGCGTTGTGTCTGCGTTCTGTTCGTTTATCGGTTCTTTTTTACAAGAATGGCACGTGCCACCGAATACATCACAAAACAAATAAACAAAGATGCCGAAAGTGCAAACAAATATTAGTGCCATACACGATGAAAAGTTCCTCCACAAAATGTTGGTAATCACGCCGATATTTTCTCTACATTATTTTTAAACGTACGTTGGTGTCTACTAAATTTAAATCGTACATGCGAAACGTGGAGAAATCAATTTTCCAAATGTCATGATCCTGGAAGACACCTCATTCCTAGCTTGTCGTTAGTTCCGGGAAATTTCCGGGGAAAAATGGAAAGTGCAGTTATGACACCGGGAAATACTCGTTTGAAAGTACGCGGGAAAAATAAATCGATAACGCGACTTCTTGCCCGTAACCACAATGTAAATAATAATAAGAATAATCGGAACGGTTTTACTAGACCGAATTCGTTGAGGAGTAACTCGAACCAGAGACATTTAAGTCATTTTCCGAAGACTGTACGCTGTAATCAAATCGATAATGCTGCCTTCGTAAACAATATCAACAATGGAAATGATTCTGAAGAGAGAAAAATCATTTTTTATGGAAAGTTTACAAGGTAATTCATGTTTTATTGTTTGCTGCTTGTTTTGGTAAAGAATGGATGCACTGTACAAACAGAATAAAAATGAATGAATGTCGTCTTTGAGCAATACACGAATTCTCATGTTCACTCTAGGTATTATTACTATTGTTTTGGTTGTTGCAAAAGAAATATTACCTCATTAGATTCCAATTATTTCAATAACACACAATTATTCCTGTTATTATTTACGGTAGTTATTTATTATTGTAAATAATTATTTCATGTTTAATAACACTTCTACTAGTTTTTCACTTTTGTATCTGATTGTAAAATCAGTAATAAGGGGGCTACTCGAGAGGCCACATTTTACATAAATGTTTTATCAATTTGTTCTGTTAATAAAACGTTTATGATAAGATTTATCAAAACTCGTCACCTGGTATATATTTAAGATACAACCTACCAAATTTTTTTATTCAGGCTGTACATCATTGTTATCAGTTAAATAGATAACATTTCATATCGATATCTGACAGGATTTCTGATGAAACATTGAGTAAAGCACATTTCATTAAAAAAAACCTTTTTTTTTTATACAGCCATCAAAGGAGAGCTAAACCATGCAATGATATAGGTTTTCTTGAGTTTTAGATAGATTATGAAACAATCTGACGATTTGAAATCTCTAAAAAAGTGTCGTTATGCCCATTTGAATTAATTGGTGTCAATTATTAGAGTTGTTACATTCTGAAGGAATTTCTTTTGCAAATTCTGAAAACATGCCATTCTTGTTTTAAACGGTCAATTAAAACAACTGGAATCTGTTGACATTTGGTTTAGGTAACTATTTATTTATAACTTCCTAATGAGATCAGTGTAAATATTTATACATTAAATCCTTGGGTAGTTAATAGCTTTAAGACAATTTGTCTTTATTTAACAATGCACACCCTTATTTACAATCTTGGTCTTCAGTGTGGCAAACCTTAAATATTTCTAATTGATTTTAGTTTTGCATTTCGGATTCACATACAACAAAAACTGATTCCAGTTTTACTTAATCTAAATAATTTAATAAAAACAACGTAATAACAATAATTAGCGAAAGAATCGATCGTGTATATTAACATTATTTGAAATCTTGTTTCACAGCATTGACACACCCTTCACTTAACATCCTGGTATGAAATTAACTATGATTTAATTTTTCTTCAGAATCATGACTTCGATTTGATGTGATCATATTTTTTTCTTTCAAAAAAACCTGATGATGGATTTTAATTACGCAAATATTTTGTATTCCAACTATTCGATTTTGTGAGTAATTCCAGTATTCGTTTCAAATTTTCTGAACATAAAATTTCGTCAATCAGTAGATGATGACGAATCGCTCGAGATATTTACAGGGAAAATTAAAATAATAACAGTCAAGGACTTGAACGAGGAACTTATTTACTCTCAAGGCGTCGTGGTGTCTGCCATCTTCCAGTGCAGGTTGTCCGTTACACCAGTGGCGTGCACAAGGTTTTTGAATAAATTGAGAGCCTCAATTTATTCATAGCCGAAAATAAGCGTAACTGTATTTTGATAATTGATTCAACAGTTATTAATTGACGGAAATTTTGGCGCCAATGCAGTGGTTTCTCTCAATAACAAATTTGACTAAACAATGGAGATTGCAATAATTATTACCTCACATGAATGGAATCACATCAACGGTTTAAATAAATGTTAAAAAGGAGTGTCTTGTGGTTAAATTAATGATACGACGCTCGTGAGGCATTCATCGATTTAATTTTTGGCAGATTCCTGTAATTAATCGCTATCCAAATATGTACATTATATCTGATGGACATACATTGAGCATATTTAAATTTAATGAATTATTTAGATTGTGACCATCATTTTCTAGACATGAGATCATTTCCTGTAGCTTTATATAGTAAAAGTGAACTTGAACGTTGACTTCTAAGTATTTGGCAAAATCATTTCGCTTAATTCGCACATCTTTCATTCTACATCTGCTGTTATATTTTTACCACAGAAGGGGATCGTTAAATTGACACAACTATTTTTGGACATTTGGAATTTTTTCTCACATCAATATGCGATCTTTACCGTTAGCAGACTGAAATGATGTCATATGAATTGTCCCGCGTCTATGACCAAGTTGGAAAAACACTTCGTTTTTATACCTAAGGATTTATCATAAAATATAATTTTTTTAATAGTCAAGGCTAAAGGTCAAAATGTTAAATCGCTGTTTAACACGATTTATTTCTTTGTAATTTTGTATCTCCCAACCCACGCTTTATAATTAATCATAGTGTATTTCCTTTTCAATATTCCAGGAAATGTGTAATCTACAAAAAAGAAAAAGTGCGGTCTTGTGTATTTTTTTTGATGGCAAATTTTTCTTTTCGAGAGAGTTTTTATTTTACAGTAAAACCTCTCAACAACGCACACAGATGGGGAATCTTTAATTATCCATTGTGGAGAGGTGTCCCTTAATGGGAGGTGTGCAAAATTAATAAAAAAAGTTTTTTATTCAAAATAACAAAATAAAATACAAAAATTGAGAAATTAAAAGCATTACAAAAAAATAGAGAAAAACATTTTTATTAAAAAAAAATCGTTAATTTTTGTTTGTTTAGACCAAAAGTACTTTTGATTATGTTTTTGAAGCTCATTACTTTAACTAACAAGTTTTTCTTGGGGTTATTCTGTATTCTGCAAATCATTAATGTACTCGTAATCATTGAATCTTATATAAAAGTTTATTTGTAAAACACTTTACATTTACTGATAAAATTAAAATTGTTCATTTATATTACTTATTATTGTAAGTAGGTGATAATGCAACAAAAACACTGTACACTGCTAGTTGCATTTTTGAAGACCAAATGGAGCTCCATTTTATTTTACAAATTCTATGGTCGTAACCGTGGGATCGGCACCAGTGGCGGAGTGTTTTTGTTTGTATCTCTTATAGAGTAGTCTTTAGTACACTCAGAAAAGTTGAAAATGACGTGTCCATAAACCGACCCTCATTATTTGGGTCCTCTTACCAAACCGCAGTTATAAACCATCTACGAGGGGAAAGTAATAAAAATGCTTTTGCATTTAGCCTCAACATTTGTTATGGGATTTTATTTCATTAATAATAATTATTATAATTAAGGGCGTGTAAAATGTGTTATACGATGTGTTATACTGAAACGAGCAAATTTGTAATTTTAAAACGTCATTATTCTGTCTCAATGGAAAGAAAAGCAAACTATTTTTTCAGAATGTCTTGAAGAGGTCCCCTCTGACGATTTGGAAATTTATACCCGATGCCGATAAATATACGAAGAAAATATCAAAAAATCCAAAATCAAAACAGTTTTATGGATTGTCTTTCCTCTATTTGTGATAATTTTTGCAATTATTGTCTTTTTCATAGTGAGGAGGAGGAGGCAAAAGTAAAGGCAAAAACACAGGGACAAAAACAATAGGGGGCAGGAAATGAAGCTTTGTAATAACGTTTCAAAAATATGAGTGATTTTTTGATGATTGAATGTTTAAATAAAATAAGTATGAGTTGTTGTATTTGATTAAAATGGTTACCACATACGCATAAATCTTCGCTTGAGCAAATTTCAGGTAGAACTCAAACTGTAGATATGACTAATTTTGCTGTGATATGGTAGCTAATAAAATACGTATGCGCCCTGTAAAATAATTCGCGCGTTGTGTATATATTTATTAATAAAATTGTTTTAGAGTAAACCCCTCTGTCGGTCTGTCCGTTGTAAGAGGTAAATTTATGTGAGATTTATGGTAAATGGGAAAAATTTCACTGTCTGCGTCCACTAATCAGAGTGTAGAGAGGATTTTTTACATTACATTCCTATGTATTAGTTACGTTCCTACAAAAATGTCCGTTATCAAGAAGTGTCCGTTAAGGGAGGTTTTACTGTAGTAGTAGTGCAATAAAAACAAAAAAGATAAACAAAAATCTAAATTATTTTTAGTGTTTATACTTGTGTTAATAAATTGATAATTGATAAAGTTATCACGACCTGTTAATGTTTAAATTTGTGCATGACATCATCCTGCGATAAGTACTTGTTTATATATTGATCATTTATTCTCCAAGTCTCATCATTTGTGAAACATTTCTTGCAAAATACAGATAGATAAATTTATAGGTGCTAACACTACTAACAAATTTTTAAAAACTGAATTTTAGTAGATAGCACGTGAATTCAGTAATTGTTCTATAGGTGACCATTTAAATCACATAGTAGACTCCCGTGTAGTTTATTTTTATTTCAGATTTATGGCCAATAATAAAACGCTTTTATTTCGTTAAGTTGGTACTTTCTTTGCAAACTGAAGTATAAAAATAAGTCGTGACGGAACCGAGGATATTTTTATTTATGCAGACCAAAACAAATGCGAACAAAACGTTTTAATCCTGACATTTTTCTTGCTAATTTACTACCTATAAGTTATTTCTTTGAATTATTAATTATTTAAAATATAATTAAATTGTCATTACTCATGTCTTCACGCCATTTAAATCTGTTGACTTAACTTACTGTTAGGGTAACCAAAATGTATGTAAAATGTTTGCAATTTTTGCACAGAATAACCTTGTTGAAGCGCCAAAGGTTAGAGGCAGCGGATTTATAATTCTAGCAGTCGCAATGACCCCGCTGGTGGTTATTAACACTCTCGAATGAATCTGTGATGACCTCATATATAAAACGCTTCTAATCAAATAAATAAAGCTTTTATCCTTCCGAATGTGACAATAGGTTAATAAAGCAAACTGGTGAATGAAAATAACTGATTCATTGTGGAAAGGAAATTATATTTGTTTAAATATTATGATGGGAATGTTGATCATAGAGATGCTTCCTTTCGAAATACACAGAGGAATATTATCATTGCTAGTTATTGTCATAAAATAATAACACTTCTTTTAATAGTGTTGTAATAGATGTTTTCTGTCCTGACTGAGACTTTCGCCTAGGAAGTAAACA